TAAAAACAAAATTATATATAAATTAAGATTGATATTTTTCAGAATTTAAATTGATATACCTATAGAAATGCTTGCTCTCTCGATTAAAAAGCAACTTTTTAAATATTAAAGGACCAACTTTAAAGTTATTTATACTTCAAAGGGACAGTAAATAAAATAAAAAAATCAAAAACTAGCCAAGGTCAATTAATGTCTAATACATAAACAAATTACCTATATTATTTTAATAAATTAAAAACGTTCGCAGTAGTGTTGCGGTTTTTCTGTGTATGTAGACGAATATTTTGTTTAAACAAATAATTTTGTCTAATTTAACGGGCAAAGAATGTTTAATAAAAAATTAGAATAAATATGTATATAAGTACAAAATTAACAAAAAAATTAAAATAAAATAATTAAAAATAATTAACTTTTATGTTTTTTATTTTTACATATTTAATTTTTTGATTAAGAAAGTGAGATTGGCCGGTCTCTACTGATGCCAAACGAAGCTTTAAACGAAGCTTTATTGAAACTAAACAAAGCTTTATTGAATCACAAGAGGACTAAACGAAGAAATTAGAAATCGGTATTTTCAAAAATCCTGGATCTGGATTCTGGACTTGGATTTAGGTTGGTAACCTGGACATGATTCTTGATCTGGATCCAGGACAACTCAAGATCCAGAAAAAATCCAGCACGATCAAAAAATGCCTAGATCTGGACTCTGGATTCAGGAAAAAACCAGACCGGATCCAAACCGATCTCTAATAGAAATCAAGGCTCGGATCAATGCTGGAAATAATTTACTTAAAATTTCAAAATTTAAAACTTATTAAATTTTGCTAGAAAGCTATACTTTGATTTTTAGTCCTTAATCTAACTCATATCATTTCCAAGTAAACAAATCTTTTATTAATCTATTTTTGCAAAATTTATTTTTTCCAAAAACATGTCTGGAAACATTTCCATTTAAAAACAAAACAAAAATACAATTTAGTTCAAAGTTAAAGAATAAAAATTATTTTTCTTTTGATTATTTTAAAAAATGCCAAATTGATGTTTTATTACCTCAAACATATTTACCCAAACAAGCATCTTTATATTTTTAATTAAAATGCCAGACAATGTACCTAAACGAGGCAAACCTTCTTTTTTGTTAAAAAGGTTAAAAAACTCTGTTATTTTTGTTAAATAATTTAGACTAAATAACATGTCTTAAAATACTTTTCTATTCACAAAAGTAGCAAAAACATTTTTAATTAATCGGTGCAAAACAGAAAAAAACAAAAACAAAAATAGTAAATAAATATTATTTTACAGAACCTTTAATTTTTTGTTTTTGTTTTGTGTGCATATTTGGTGTTTTTTGTCTTTCAAAAAATATTTTTCTAGCTTTCATCACTTTTACCCATTCAAAATACAAAAATATATTTATTTATTTTTATACGATAATTAAATTTAGAAATTACCTTAAATAAACTGTAATAAAACAATGAAAATAGAAATTACGTGTAAAAATGTCAAAAAATAATATTTTTAGTAAATTAAAAAAATGTGAGAGTACATAAAATAAAAATTAATTATTGTTAAATTTATTTTTTTGCAAAAAATAATAAATCTAAAAATAAATTTAATAAAAAAATATTAAAAAATTAAATGTCAAATTAAAGAAAGAAAAAATTGAAAGGCTATTTTTAATGTAAAAATAAAATTTTGCTAAATTTTAATTTCTATTTTAGGTAAATTCTTTTTTGGCTACTTGACGTTACGATAATGGACTTTTAGATAATAAATTAGCATTTTTAACAGTGATAAAAGGAATGATAATAATCAGTTGAAAAGATGGCATAGGATAAGAGGGAAAATAATTAAAGGTGGGGGGGGGGGGCTAATAATTAGCTGCAGCGCCAGAGTGATTAACTACTAAATATTTACAAAACTTTCTAATTACTGTAAAATCAACATGAAAGTCATGCTCTTTAATCGAATGATAGGAAAATTTCTAAAATTGTAATACATGAAAAATAGAATTTTTTAGTAAGTATACGATATATTTTAAATAGCTCTAATTATAAAATTTGAACATTTTTATTTACATGTAATAATTAATTATTAATATATTATATGTATGTAGTATATAGCCAGTTCGTAAATAAATTAAATATATATTATCAACGTAATCTTGTCTCATGTAACAACAATTAAAAATTCAAAAAAACAAACATTTAAATATTTATTTTTGACGACAATTCTAATTTTAGTTTTTTATTTTGCAAAACTTATTTAATTTAATTCTGGTTAATAATTAAATATTATAATTTTCATATCTATATTTTTAAAAATTTTTTAGACAAAAAATTAATATTATTTTTTATTCATTTAAGGAAGTTATAATTATTAATGTTCCAAATTTCATAATAAATAAATTTTAATCACAAGTTATATTTTTCTTATTGTTTTATAAAACTAAATAATTTATAATCTCTTTTATTTTAAAAAAACAAAAGAATTTATTTTTTAATTTTTAAAAATATTTTGCAAAACATTTTTATTTTTTATTAATTTTTAATTTTTAATTTAATTTCCAAAAATATTTTTTAAAAAAAATAAACAATTAAATTACCGGATTTATGTAATTGTTTCCGATTATTTATTTATTACGCAAAAAATTTTTAAACAAAAAAAAACAATAAAGGGAACATTTAACATTTAAAATATAAACGTTCAAATATTCAATTCTTTTGAAAAAATATTTTTAAAATTGCGTGTTTAATTTTGTTAAATTTAGATATATAAATATATATAATTTATTAAATAACAATTTTTAATTTATACATCTATTTTTGTATATATTTTTTTAATTTTGTAGTCCAATTATTAAAACTAAATTTAAACAAAATGCACTTTTCTAAAAATATTTTTAAAGAAATAAACTTTAGAAAGAGTAAATAAAAATCCGGAGGTTTTTATCACATAAGAGTTGAAAAATAATTTTTAAAAACTTTTGGAGTCGCTTCGGCAACTCCTAGGGAATGAGAGAAAATCTCACTCGATATGGTGCGAACTTTGCCAAAAATTTTCCCATGCGCCATCGACTCTGTATCAAACAAGTAGTGGGCACTTCGAAAATTCCTGATTATTTTTGTCCCATATTTAATTCTTTATAATTTAATATTTACTTCATTTCATTATCTTAAATTTGAATGAAGTTATGGCACACCCTGTAGATATTTTTAAAAATATTTTTACATTGAAAAGACTCTCGGACATAAAACAGAATATATAAATCTTTATTCTATAAATGTAATAATTTTTTATTAGTTACATACCTGTATTAATTACCCTCCCCTCAAATAATTACCCTTTATGCTGATTTGAAAAATATTTGTTAAAAATAGTTACAAATTTTAATAATTTTAATGATCAATATATAAAATAAATTGAGAAATTAAAAGGATTTTGTGGATATTATATCGAGAGATTACAGTTTTTACGGTATTCTTAGTAAAAGTTCTGGCTAAGTCTTAACTTTATTTATATTTTTTTTAATTATTTTAGATAAATTTTCTGTTAATTTGTGGAAAAAATATTTTTTAATTAATATGTATACCTATTTATTTTATAATATTAATATACTATTTATGTACATATATAAAATTATAAATTTCTAAATTAATAAACTAAACAAAATTTACTTTATTTTTAATTTTACTTTTTAAAAATCAAATCAAAAAATTTTTTTAGCAAAAACCACCCCATTAACCACTTTTATTTAGCTCATTTTACCCAACACAGATGTTTTTATTTTCGTTATACGTATATTGATTGTAATAGGGTAAAGGACTCACAGACAATTGGACAGCTAAAAATTGGATAGCTTTACCACATCCTTCATAAAATTGGTAGAAATCCCTCATAAATAAATTTTTAAAAACAAACGCAAGTAATAATCTTATTAATTTAATCATAGGGTTAATTCTAATTTAATTGGTTAACTTTATAATTAAATAAACTATGTACTTGTTGCATTCATTCCCTATATCCTCTTAATCCCACATATCCTTCTTAATCCTTAAAAATACCCTGATATTCCTCCAAATCCCCTAAATACACAATATTACTATTAATCCCATAATATCCGTCCAAATAAAAAATCAAGAATCAAGGCCTGGATCCAGGCAAAAATAATCCTTGATTTTTCTTGACTCAAGGTCCTTGATCTGGTCAGAGTCCTCAGCTAAAATCAAGTATCAAGGTCAAGGTTTTTTTGAGGATTTCGCTCACTACTAAGTAAGCTAGAATTTTCCTTTCTAAATTAACCGTCAAAGTGTCCATTGCCCAATTGTCAAGACACGAGAAAAGGGCAATAATGCTTCCTTCCACTATAGTAGTGAAAAACATAGTTGGTTTTCCATACATATAGCAGCAATTTTAATGGAGGAAGGATGCTTTTGCGGCCAAAGGCTAAAGATAAAATAAAAACACTAAAGCCCCAAAACAAAAATCATTTTCGCTGTTTTATGATAATTAGTAATGGACTTTTTTTAAACTAATGTATTATATGTATTTAAATAAAATAGTATGTATGATTAATATAAATATTTATTAATAACACATTCAATAATTTAGTAGTTATTTTCATTTCCCCTGATGGTCTATTTTTAAATTTATTTTGATCTAAAATTTAAAAGAAATGTTAATATCTTTTATTTAATTTATTTATTTGTCAATTATTCTGAAGGAATCCGGTTTTTTAAATATTATTTCACTCCTCACATTTTATCGTTGTTTACTTTAAAATTAGAAAAATATTTATATAATTTAACTTTAATTTTATTTAAATAAAAAGCAATTTATATTGTCCATAATATTTTTACATAGTAACTATAGATTTTATAATTTTATATTTTTTAAATAATTTTTATCAATATTTCAACTTTTCTAAATTTTATAATTTTATAAAAATATTCCTCCAAGTAATTTACTATTTAATTAAAAAATTATTTTTTAATTTTTAGTAAAATAAAATTATTAATTATGCGACAATCAAAACATTTCAAAGGTGGAAAATTTAATACTGTTATTCATTGTGTGCCTCATCAAAATGCATGGATAGTTGAACGGATGGGGCGTTTTCATCGAATTTTGGAACCCGTAAATTAACTAATTTATTTGGATTAAACTAAAATTAGAAATAATTAATTAATTCCAAAAATAATCATTAACTAATTTATTAAATCTAATTGAATTAGAAAAATTAAATCTTTCAATCTTCAACAGTTAACAATTTTCTGACAGAAAATAATTTTAAAAAAATCCAAAATATTAATATCAAAAATAACTTGTGTTAAATAAATTTAATACTCTTAAACTTTTTGTCAATTTTAAAAGGGTGTGCATTTTCTAATTCCTTGTGTTGATGAAATTCGTTACCGTCATTGTTTAAAAGAAATGTGTATTGAAATTCCCCAACAAGAAGCTATTACTAAAGATAATGTCCAGTTAGACCTTGATGCTGTTTTGTATGTTAGAGTTACTGATCCTTATAAAGTAACTTCTAAGCAATAATTTAAATATTAAAAATTTAAAAAAGGCCTCTTATGGTGTTCAAAATCCGGAATATGCTATAAGTCAATTAGCTCAAACAGTAATGAGAGCAGAAGTAGGCAAATTAATGCTAGACAATGTTTTCCATGAAAGGGCTAATTTAAATATGACTGTTGTTGGTAATAACAACAATTTTTGGAATAATTTTTAAATTAAATTTTAGAAGGAATAAAGGAATCAGCAGCCCCGTGGGGTCTGATTTGCCTTCGATATGAAATACGTACAATGACTATGCCGCCTGAAATACAGCGGGCAATGAAAGTAAACTAAAAAATATTTTTAAATTTAATTCTGAAAATTAAAGATGCAAGTCGAAGCTGAACGAAAAAAGAGAGCAATGATTCTCGAATCTGAAGGTATTTGTGAAGCTGCAAAGAATAAAGCAGAAGGGGAAAAGAGTGCACGTATTCTTCAATCTGAAGCTCAAATGCAGGAACAAGTAAATAAATCTATGGGGTTGGCTAAAGCTGCTGAAGCTGAGAAAATACAGAAAATATTACAATCTGAGGCTGAAATGCAATCTAAGGTAGATTTAAATACTTTACAATTATAAAAAATCAGAATAACCGAAGCCGGGTTATTAAAATTTGGATTAACCGAAAACCTTGGTACCAGTTAATAACCGGCTCAATATCCATAGCAAAAATGTTTTTAAAAATATACTTAAATTTTTTTTAATTTTTTACAAAACAATTTTTTATTTTTTAAATATTTTTAGGTAAATAAATCAATTGCCCTAGCAAAGGCAGCAGAAAGTGAAAAACTTTCGCAAGTTGTTCTTGCGGAGGCTGACAGAGATTCACAAATTATCCGAAGTGAGGGTTTGGCTAAAGCTATTACTATAGAACATGAAGCTAGAGCAACTTCTCTTGAGAGGATGGGACAAGCAATTCAAAATTCTGGAGGGTCAAATGCCGCCGCTTTTTTGACTGCCGACAATTTTGTCAAAGCTTTCTCAAATTTGGCAAAAGAATCGAATACTTTAATTATTCCTTCTAATCCATCAGACATTGGGGGTGTTGTAACACAAGCTTTGTCTATTTATCAAAAAGTTGCTACACAACAACAAAAACCTAATTAAATGATTTTTAAATATTTTTGGGTAAATTCTCCTTTCTTTCTCTCTTTTGCTTGCCACAAAAATAATCTTAAATGCCGTTACTGCCATTTCTTCTTTATACTTAGGCTGTCAACTTAGTTTTGAGCTCCCTTTAATTAACATGGGAACATATGCTACTGTCACCACGAATTTGGTATTTTTTCTGGTACCATTCGATAGAGGACCCCCGACTTTCTATTGGATAGTGCTATATGTATATTATGGTTGACTTTAGCTACTTTGGGCCGAGTTATGGCCGTTCAAAGTTGGACCGCTAGAGTTTGGAGTTATAGGGTAAATAAACTTATAACTCTAGAAACCTATAACTTCGAAATTTATATTTTCAAATTGAATTCGGATAACATTTTGTTGGATTTTTGTAATAATTTAATACTCTTAACACAGGGGGAGCTCAAAACTTAGTTGATAACCTAAGTACTACATATTTAATTTTACTTTAAATCCTTAAAATATATTATGGTTGACATTAGCTATTATTTAACGATAGATTTCCTTTAACAAAACAAATATTGTTTTATCAACCGTTGATCATCTCCCTTGAGGGTTTATAACCAGTAGTCAACTATAATTATATTTTAAGTAAGAATTTTGTTTGTTTGGCTAAATAAATTTATCTATTTTATTAAAGATTTGCTACATTTAAAGATTTGCTAAAATTACTTTATTTTCTAAAAATAACAACATTTTTTCTATGTTTCTTTTAATTGACAGTTCTTTTGTAAAAATTTAAGATTAATTTTTACACAAAATTTTATTTTTTCTTCAATAAAAATAACTTTATTTTTTAAACTCGATCTTTTTTAATTATTAATAATTAAATGTGTTAAATTCATTTAATTATAATTTTTTATTTTTAATAAAAAAAATAATTTTTATTTTCACGTTTTAATTAATCTTTCTTTAATCCGAATTTAATATTTTTAGAATTGTTTCCAAAAAATAAATATTTTTATTGTTTTTTTCTTTAAATTTCTCGGAATTTTATTTTTAGAAAACCTTTAAAAATTTTTAAACAAAAGTTTAAAACAATTTCTTTAAATATACTAATTTGGAATTTTTGTTTTAAAAAGTTCAAACTTTTATAAATATTAAGTTAATTAAATTAATTCTTGAAATTAAATATAATTAAAAAGAGAATATATTTATTGTTACCCAAATTTATTAAAAAAATTATTTTAATTTTTTTTGATAATTCCTAAAATAGAAGAAATATTGAAAAGAAAGTGCCAATCTTTTAAATTCTTTGAAAGTTTTTATAAATTAAAAATAAATTTTTTCTAAGAATCGGTATATTTTAAAAATAAAGAGATTTTTAGAACAAAATAAATAATAAACTTGAAACTTTTATAAAAAACCTGAATTTTTAAAAATTCAAATATTCTAGGTAACACTATTATAGAAAAGGGCATTATTAGAAAATAATGTAATCCAATTAATTTTAAATTTTTTAAAAATTAAATTTAAAATTTATCAGTTAAAAATATTTTTTAATTTAAAATAACAAATAAAATAATTTAAATACACAAAACTTTTCCTTTAGTTTCAGTTTGTATCCATTCACAATCAATTTGTGTAAATGTAGCTTTAAATAAAAATTAATCTCTTTAAAAATTATTTATTACCATAGTCTTGATTAGAAATAAATTTTTTATCTTTATTACACATTCCTTGTGTAACAACACCAATTTGATACCAAGAATCTCCAAAATCAACAAGTAAAGGGCCTCCACTATCTCCCTTAAAATATTTGAAGAATAATTTTTAAATTTAAGGTAGAGGAGATAGTGTAAAATACCCCTTATCAAAAGATAACAGTTTTAGCCCTCAAGAAGTTCTAAAATTATTTTTTAATTAAAATGTACATATTGAATAGATGAAGGACTTGGACGTACACATAATTTGTCACTCCAATTATTCTCAGTAATTTTTTTTATCCAAGAAGTGAGGCAGAAAGGAATATTTAAATTTTGACCAAATGTTTTATTAAATTGTTGAAGGAGTGAAACTTGAAGAATTTTTTAAATTAAATTAATTTATTTTTATTTTAATACAAAATTTTGTGTTTTAATACAAAATTGAAATTTTTGGTTAATAAATTTAAAAAATGAATTTAAAATTAATTTTGAATAAATTAAAATTTTCTAAAAAAATTAACTACATATTTTCTACCTTCCATTTCATTAACACAATATAAATTATTTTCCATTAATTCAACCCATCCAGATTGTAATTTATCTGTTTTCCCCTCAATACTAGCATTAACTTCACAAAAAGGTTTGATCCATCCCCAACCAGCAATTAAAGTTTTTGTTTTAATTAATGGAAGTCTGTTTGTTAATTTAATTGAACGGGCATTTTGAGAAGAAAATAAATTTAATTTTGATGATTCTGGTAACTGAATAAATATTTAAATTAAAAATAATTAAAGAGAAGAAAGAACAAAGACTGAGAGAGGACTGATGTTTAAAAAATATTTTTAATTTTTAAATTAATTTCTAGCAAATATTTTTTTAATTGTTGTAACTAAATAATCATATAAACTAATTTTTATGCAAAAATAAAAATTTTAGGTTGTAACTTGGAATTTCCCTAAAATTCAATAAATTTGGAAAAAAATATTTAAGTAGAATTATGACATAATTAATAATTAAATTAATTTATTATTACTTCAATTAAAGCAAGATCAGCATAGAGTAGATTTCCAAAAATCCCATTATTTGTGTTTTTATTTCTAGGGTGTATTTTAATCATTTTATTGTTAAATTCGATTAATGTTTGATTTTTAAAATTTGTTGAGCCAAAACCAATAACCAAAGAAGCTGAAGGGTTAGATAATATCTCTGAAAATTATTTTAAAAATTTTTCATTAAATTTTAGCCTTAAAAATTGTTTTCCAAATTTTTACTGACTTTTTCTTTCACAAAGGTTCCGAATTCAAAGCTTTTCTAAAAGCTAGTTTTAGAACTTAAAACGCTCACTAGGCGGGGGTTTTTTTCCCAAAAAATTTATGTGTACGTCCAAGTCCTTCATCTATTCAATATGTAACTTCTATTAAAAGAGAAGGTGAAAGCAGTTGTTAGAGCATCTGTACGTGGTGAGCGAAAGCGCCTAGCAATAACTGCCAAGAGGTCGCAGGATCGAAGCCTGCCCGGGATTAAACTTTTACCTCGCTCTTACTATAATGAGACGAGAAAATATTTACTTTATCTCCTTCATTTGCTTCTAATTTAAAGAATATATTTTTACCATTTTTTGTCCATCCCTGAAAACAATGTGCAGCTGTAAGAATATATTTTTCATTAATTATAGTTCCAGTACAAAATACTTGAGTATGAGTATTTAATTTAGAATAATTATGTTTCATTTGAATTGTTACCATCCAAGGTAACGTTTTATCATCAACAATTTCAGTACCCATATATAACTAAAAATAGTTAAATTTATAATTAGAACTTTTATAATTATTTAAACACAAAATTATCGGCAAATACTTTGAGATATTGTTATAATAAGTGTGGAAATTTTAAATTTTGCTCGTAATCCTAATTCGTACAGGCCTTATCTTCCCTCGTTTCGTTTTGTTCTAGTCACCTTCGTTATGAATCCTTTAATATATCCTTTAATAACTACTCTGGGTAATTATTTTTCCAACCTTCCACTGGAGGGAGTAATGAATCGAGGGAAGGTAAAGGCTTGAAATTTGAACGTGTTTTAGGGCATTTGTTGGGAGGGGGGTAATTATTGTTTCAATCTTCGCTGTATGGGGTAATTAATGGAAGTGAGGTAATTATTTGAGGGAGGGCAATTAATACAGGTTGTACGATACGAATTTCAAGAAGCCCTGTTTTCTTGTACACAGGTACTCGTACTTTTATATAAGCACGAACTTCAAACACTGGACACAATCAAAGTCAACAACTATTCATCAAACTCAATTTTCGATAAAATCGAGAATTACAAAACTTTAAGATAAACTAATCTTAAAAGCTTTAAACCTTTTTTATTTTATTAAATTTAAATTAATTTACACACTTTATTAGAAATTGGCAAGCAAAATAAAACTTTGTTAATAATTGTAGTTATTATTATAATTGAAATTAAAAAATGTAAATATTTTTCTAAAACTTTTTTAATCATTTCTTATTTTTTAATATTTTTAGAATAATTTAATAATATTTTTTAAATTTTTATTTAAATAAAACTCCCAATATTTTTAAGAACATTTTTTTTGAAAATTTGTCATTCCTGCTCTTTACTTTCATTTTCAACTTTAAATATTTAATTAATAAAAAATTAAAGAATTAAAGCTGAATCATAGAATTTCCCCTCCTCAAATTTTTCCTATTTCGGGGGGGGGGGGGCTTTAGCCCCAGGAACTCACCTGGATGCGCCCTTGTAATTAATAATAAAAAATAATTTTAAATTACATTTTGTTCTAATTATATAGCTTGATATTTTAAAATCTCTTAATTTCTTAAAACCTAAGTTTTCCAAAAAGTTGAACTTTTGTATAAGCTAATTGTAAAATATTAGTATTTATAAAGATGGGAAATTTATTCAGCAATAGAAAAATAATTCTAAAATGGATTAATTCTCTTTGGATATTAAAATGCTTGCTCTCTCTAAATATAAAAAATCATTTATGTTTCCGTTCACTACGTCGAAAAAAATCATTAAAACAAAATCATTTCATCGTGTTCTATGTAATCTGCGTTTCTTAGGCAAGGTTTCAATTTTCGGAGCATTTGATATTTGCTTGTCATTTTCTGTCTTAAAAATAAAATACTAGAGATTAAAAGCTAAATTTACAATTTTACAAAGTTGAAATTAAGGTTAAAACAATTTTACTAAATAAAACAGGAATTTTGTTTAAAACCTAAAATAGAATGACCAATTTTCGGTCGACTTTTTAAAAATTATTAATAAGAAAAAATAAGTTTACAGACCTCCTTCTTTGTTTCAGAATGTGAAGAAGTTGAGGATGAAGCTGATGAAGGAATTACTTTTGTTTTACTCGTTTCTCTTTTGCTAATTGAAGAACTTCTCAATAACTTTTGTTGTGTTGAAGTTTTTGCTGCATTGCTTGTACTTGCTGTTTGTGAACAAGAAATACCACTGCTGCTACGTGACAATTGCCCATCAAAAGGACAATCACTTTCACTAGCAATACTTTGGCAATTACTTGAAGTACCAAAAATTGGGGTGGAAAAAATTCCAGCAGACCATTGACCAGAAGGATATTGAACTACCTAAAAGTAATGTGATGAATTAATAACAATAAATAGGCTCAACCAGAGCTTTTTATCAATACAAAATTTGGTCAGAAAATTATTACTGAAGAAGTCAATTACAATGGCGTAGCCAAGAGGTCGATTTCAGGTGGCTAAAATTGAGTGTGCGCCAAAATGTATGCGTTTACTTTGGGGTTCCGAACGCAAATTTTTTGTACATATATTTTTATTTTTTCAGCACCGCAGTCGAAAATTTTGAGAATTTTGGGGAATTTGTGCGTAAAAAATGCACTTTTCTGATCATTCCCCTCCCAAATTTTTTTCATTTTCACAATTTCAGGGGGGGGCTACAGCCCAGAAACCCCCATCCCCTGACTACGGCCTTGTAAGTCAATTAGACATAAATATAAACTTAATCATTATAAAATATTTTCTGAATAAATTTCAACAAAGAATTTTTAAAATAAACATAAAAAATAACCTCAATACACTTCAAAGCATAGGCTAGCATTTCTTTGGCACACGTGTTAACATGATGGCCAGTACTGTTGTACATTACTGCATTAGCGAAAATTTTCAAAATATGATGAGTGAATTGACCAAATGTTTGTATAGTGAAGGATTCAATAAGTTGAAATAATGTGTTTAAATCCATAGGTCTAAAAAAATAAAAATAAATTTATTTAAAAATTAAAAAAACTTTTTTATAGCTGAATGATAACCAGGTACTTCCCCTTCATCTACAGGCTGATCAAATACATAAGAGTGACGATGTGTACGAATATCTTTCCAAAGAGTTAGTAATACTTCTTTGGGAATAACTTCACTAGAAGAATGGTTGCCCGGGCGGAGGAAAAGTCCGTTTGTACCAACGCTGTCAACAGCTGGAGATGGAGTAGCGCTATAAAAACAAATATTTGATAAAATTAAATAAGTAAATATTAGAAAGGCATTATTCAAATAATAGCAATATTTTTTGGAATTAGTGGATTAAACTGACGATAGGAATTTTTCATATGTTGCATCCCTGAGTTTGGAAGGCTTCACATCTTTCTACGAATTTTAACATAGAAAGGTCCCACACATGTCATCGAAGACTTACTAATATTAATCGAAAATTAAATTATACGGAATTGAAAATATCTAACTGAACAATTGAAAGGAAAACTAGATAGATCGGAATAATTAAATTACACAAAATTAGTTTTAAACAAAAAAAACCTTGCAAGCGCTGCTCTACGCAAAGATGAGCGCAATTTTGCTGTCGCAGCAACATGAGAATGAAGAGTTGGTGTTGAAAGTTGTAAAGGTGGTGGCGGAGGGGTTTTTATTGGTACAATAGGTTGCTCCTGCTCAATTTTGATAGGAGTTTCAGCTTTTTCTTTAACCGACGAAATCTCAGGAATGAGTGAAGCAGAATCGGGTTGTTTAAGAGGTTTCTTGGATTCTGTTGAAGGCTCAGTTTGAGAAGAGGGGCCTGAATATTTTTTACATTAAATAATAATTTTAGAAATTATTTACTTGAATGCGAAGATCGACGTAAATTTTTAGCAGGAGGCCCTTGCTCCTCATCATGCTGGTGATCATTAATTTCAGTCTGGGGAGGCTTCAAGAATTCAGTCACATTTCTCCTGAGTATTTTAAAGTTAAAAAAGCTCCTCAATTCTACATTTAAAATCAAATAACTCACTTGCGTTTTCTCGATCCAATAGAAGCAACTGTAGACATTAATTTTTCATCATTAACAGTCTTGATCTCTTCCTCTTCAGTTTTTGGTATTGCTTCCATTTCTTCTTCAATTATTTTCTTAGCTGTAGAACTTCGCAAATTTCTTGGAGGAGGAGGCAATGCTGTAGTTTTAATTGCTGGTAATTGTTGTGGTATTTTCAATTGTGTTTTTGTAGGTTTGGCTTTTTGTGAAGTATTTGAAGTTGACTTTTGTCGGCGACGTCGTGATGGTTGTTGTTTAGATGGTTGTGTAGTAGGCTCAATTAATTCGGCTTCTAATGCATTAATTTGAGCTGCTTTTGTAGAAGTCATGGGTTCTAAAATTAAAAACATAAGTATAATAAAAAGTAATGATCTAAATAAATCTGGCGGTTTTAACGCGGAAAATAGAAAAAAATAATAGGAAAAGTAAAATGGAGATAAATATGTTTGAATTCTAAAATTTAAAACTGAAAAGTAGGAACATTTTCTGTTTTAAAGCAAGGTGATTTACGCTAGAAAGTAAGCTAAAAAGGAACGAAAATTAAGTTCAGACATTGTTAAATTAGCCGAAAAATTAGCCGAAAAATTATCAAAATGATAATCGTTTGCAAAAAAATTATTAGAATTCAAACAAATTTATACTCCAATTCTTCAAATATTTTCTTCCCTCACCCTCAAGGGAATTTGTAATTGGCAAAGGCGGCACAATAACTTTTTCCTCAACAGAAGCACATTGAACAATTTTTAGAACACATTCCACAAATATATCTTTCTCTTGACCATACATTTTGATCAGTTGAAGTGATTGGTTTATTCTTTCTAAAGTTGCTTCACTTGAAGCTAATTTGGCATATTCCATATTTGAATGTTTCAATACAATTTCTGCTACTTTTTCCTCTATAGATACATTACCAAATTCCAAATTTGCATCGATAAAGCTTTCCTGGAAACTTTTTTCCATTTCCTTTTCAATCAAAACATTCTCCTCCTCACCCAAAACACTTTCCTCTTTATTTATCTTAACAAAATCAACAATTATCTCATCATCCTCAACAACAATTACTTCCGGATTTTCCACAGCGTTAATATTTTTATCATCATTTCCTTCTTCTTTGGGAGCCTCTTCAATAACTTTAATATCATCTTCTTTAACGCTCCTCACTTCTTCCTCTTCTTCATCTGTATTTAACACTACAACATCATTATCCCCTGTTTCTATATCATTCATAATCTCATCATCTTCTTCTTCCTCAAAAATATTCCTATTTATTCTATCACCATTAATCTCTTTTCTGTCATTCTTATTTTCAATATTCTGCTTTCTGATCATTATATCGTCATTATATTCAGAAATATTGCCCCCACAAATCTCATCATCATCCACAGTTTTTAATATATCCTCTTCTTCAATAGCTTCATTATATTTAATCGACTTCTTACATTCTTCCTCGTCAATTAATTTTTCGTTTTGCTTCTTAAAAGAATTTTTAGCTTCATTATCCTCTTGGATTAACTTCGTGTTAACAAATTTATTTAAATGTTCTTCCTTTCCTTGATTGTTTACAGTTGAAAATTGTTTCGATTTCGATGAACTAAACTCAACCTCGTTGATTTCTTCATCAGATTCATCATCTTCCAATAAAGAAAAATCGTCAAGAATCGGAAACTCATCATTTTGTCTCGCATTGCCCACACAAGTGATTGTTGTGGTTCTTTGATTCACATCATTTGTAGAAGCCCTTTGTTCTTGTGTTTGGATCGTATTGTTCTTGATGTCTGAATTTTTTAGTGTTGTGTCCAAAGTTTGAAATGTGTTGATTTTCATTAAATCTTTTACCCCATATTTATTTATATTTTGGTTTAATTGACTTTTTTGTTCAATTTTACACGGTTTTGTCATTAAATTTTGTCTATTACTCAAGCTCATAATTTTTTGAACCGCCTTTTCCAATTTTGATTGTGGTTTGTTAGTTTTGACATATTCATTTATTTCATATTTTTCTTAATTTCGTTTAATTTAAGCATTTTTTAGTTTAAAATTAAATAAATTTTAGTTTTTGTTCAAGAAGTCAGAAAAATTTTTGAGGAATTAAAGAAAAATCAATTTTACTCAAAGAATTAATATTGTGATTAAATTTACGCTAATTTTTTAGTCCTTTCAATAAATTCCTGGGAATAAGAAAAAGATACTCCCAGAAAAAGAAATAAGGAAAAAAATTTATTTTGGGTTGTCTCATGAAACGCAAGAATTTAAAAATGTTGTTTCTGGTTTAAGAATGTTGTTAAGACTCGGGACAATTATTTAGTAAAGTTAGATTTTTTATCTGTTTTAGTTTGCTTGAGATTTATCGATTTTTCTTTGAAAATAAATTTTTGGAAAAAACGAACTTTTTTATGAACCGACCTAATAATTCTAAGGAAAAATAAAAACCAAACGAGAATTTAAAGGATTTTGACTAGTCGATAAACCTAAGAAAACCTCAAAAAATATTTCTTTCTCATTGTCAGCGGAAAAATAAAAATTCCTCAAAAATTTTTCTGACTAAAACAATATTAAATTGTCTATTTAAATTTTTATAAAAAATTTTGTTTTACTATTTAGGACCAAGGGCTCCTTAAATATATATTTTAATATTAGAAAACCTTTCAACACAAGCTCTGGTGAATGCAATAAAGGACTTTTCAATCGAACAAGGCTTGGCGATTTTGGAAACGCTTCTTCCAACGGCTCAGGAGGCGGCGTTGGAATTTTTTCACCGCGCAAATAAGAACAATAATCAGAGAAGGTGCGAATCTTGAAAATAAAAAAAAATATGAAATTAATAAAATCCAAAACAAACATTATCTAGGCTATCCAATTGTAGTTTATCTAACATCTCCTTCAATTTAGTTTCATAAAGCTCTCGATCCGGGCGCTAAATTAAAATGAAATTATGAAAATTAAAAGCAATAAGTGGACTAATTTTCAAATAATAATTTGGTTTTGTTAATTAAAAGAAATGGAATTTTTTAAGAATATTTTCTCTTAAAAGGTTCTAGCAAAAGAGGAAAACTAAGGAAAATCTTCTGAAAAATTAGCAACAAAAAGCTATGAATGTAGAGATTTTTATTGCAACAGAAATAGCTGGAAAGCTCTAAATGGCATAATCAAAAACGCTGAACGGCCGGAATGGCTTACGGTTATAATGTCGCAGACCTAAACTGCGAGTAAAGCTGTTCCAACAGCGGGGGATATGTATTGTTTCAATCGTTTGTGACGCTTTATCGTTCGCCGTTTCGGGCTCGAAGTTTTAGCCTGCGCCATTTCCGACCGGACGCGAAATAATTGGAGTCCGTCCCTGATAATTTTTTTCTGACTATTTTTTGATACTCCAAAGTTGCCTACAAATTTTTCCCGTCCCTCCCCTATAGTATTGTCTTAAAAACCTGTGCATCCCGTTCACGTGCTTCAGTCAAAATTGCTTCAATTTCTTGTGGAGGTAATTTTCCTTGTTGAAAACGTTTAATTAAATCCAAATGTCGACGCATCGAAATAGCAAACATTTGTTTTTGAAGTTCTCGTTGTTTGGTTAATTCTTTTCTAAAATATTTCAGCCACATTTCTGCCGCTTCTTTGCCACGTGGGTGTAGAGGAAGACCATAAACATGTTCAGGATTTGGGGTTACGAATATTTGATGAAGCTCTTGACGGATATTCTAAAAAGATTCTGATAAAAATAGAACTAAAAAATTAGGAGGATATGACAGTTTAACCAAGTTTCGGTCAATTTAAAAATTTTTTAATAATTCGGAAAAGTCAGTTAAACATCCAACCTACCCATTTTTTCATGATTTTAATAATATAATTAGAAATTCCAGTACTTGTGTAGTTTACACCCCATAAGCTCCGCCCCTTTTCCTTTCTTTCTTTTCCTTAACAGGTGACCATAATAAAAATGCAAACATTGACCGCTTGATCATTTTATGGAAGAAAAAGAGGCGGGGCTTATGGGGTGTAAACTACACAAGTACAGAAATTCTATGTTTCTTTTTTCTCCAGAAATTTTTTCCCTACAAAAAAATTAACCTGAACAGTAAAGAAATTATGAGGCCTCTGTGCAAATTCATTTTGTAAAATTTCTGCACGTCCTTCCCTAAAATTTAATTATAAAAGGAAATTTAAATAAAATAATTAACCATAAAATTTCTTTATTCATAAAAAGTTCAAGCAAACGAATTTTCTCAAATAAAGTCCAAGTTGTTAAATCTGTTGATATTCGTATCATCTTAAATTAATCAAATAATTAATCAAATTAAAAAGAGGAAAAAGAATAAAGATTAGGGAAATGCAAATCAACGTTTCTTAAGGAAAAGAAGTTAAACGTCACACCCCATTTATTCGCAAAACCCCTGTTATTGAACAATTATTCGCGAATCAACCCATCAAGCCAACAATGGGCAAAGGTTACTGTAACTCTTCTTCTGTTACTGTAACTCTTCTCCTTCTACCCTGCTACGGGGCAAGTAGAAGACTTTTAAAAGAATCGTTAAAAATTGAAATTTGATGAAAAAAATATATAAATTAAATATTTTTAGATAGTTTGAAGTGTGCTCTATTTTTTGGTACAATTTTTAAAATTTTAAATTTAAAAATGAATATATGAAAATTTTTAACAAAGAGTACTTCATTTTTTAGCCATTTTTTAAAGAAAAGTATGTAGTAACTTGCTAAAAAATTTATAACTTTTAGCTAAGTCGGTCAAAATTTTTGATTTTTTAGTAAATCATAGATAACACCCCAATTTATATTTTGGCAAAAAATAAAATTTTTAACTCAATTTTAAAAAAAGTTATGATTTTTTCTTAAAATAGGGAGAAATGAGAAAAAACGGAGACACCAAATCAGATGCGTAGGGTTGCCGCTCCGCTAAATTCAAACTCAGTCTGAATTTATAAAATTAATATAAAAAATCGAAGTCTGTTTGGGCCAGCAAGAACATTTAAGCATGTAATTTGTAGAAATTTTTAATTAGTAATTTTCTAGTAAATTGTAGAAAATTTTTAAAAAATTTTTATATCTTTTATGTGGATTTATCCCTAGGATCACACAGAAGGGAAAAGTCTAAAACAAAAAATAAATGTATTTATTTAGAAAATATTTTTAAAAAATAAATTTACAAACAAAAATTAATTATGCTGCACCAGCAACCGAATAAAATAATTTTAACAAAGGCATATTATTAATTAATATATTATCATTATTATTATCTGAGGATACTCTTCTTTGTTTTTGCAATATTTCTTCTTCATAATCTTTTCTTGTTCTTTTATGTTTAGTTTGCTGAAAAAAAGGGAATTTTAAATTATTTTAAGAATTTAAAGTAGTGTATGCATCACTACGAGCCTTCGGGGTCGGGTGTGTCGGGGATCTGGGTTTGCCGGGGAGGGCATGTCGGGGTAGAGCCTTCAGGGCTAGGGTCGGGGGTTTTGCCAAAAAAATTGTCGGGTCGGGGGATGCCACCCTAATTTTAAAAAATTTACAGAAGCTTTTTGTAAATATGAAGAGGAAAGATCAACTTTTGTAGGGGTTACAATTTGTTGAATATTGTTATTTGTTGTTGTTTTATGCCTATGAATTACAATTGTAGGCATTTCGGTTGTTAAAATTGAAAATAATTTATTTGAATTTGTTGTTTGTTTAATTCAGGGCTCTCATTCGTACTTTATTTGAAAGTACAGTACTTTAAAATCGACCTCCGTACTTACGAAATTGAATTTGTACTTTATTGAAAGTATGTACTTTAAAATCAACATTTTGAAAAAATGGAAGAAATCTGGCTTAAGGACCCCCAAATTTCTCAAAATTTTCGCCTGCGGCGCAAAAAAAAAGATTTTTTGGCGCCTTCGGCTCCACAAAAAAGTGCATTGAAATTCACTAAATGCTAAGTTGAAACAAGAAATTATTAGAAAAGATGGTAATATTGAAGAGTATGGGCCCCATTTTTCCTCCCTATTTTTCCCCTTATATTTATACAAAATGGACAGACTTTTTCCTTCCTTCCATCCAATTTGCCTTTATAATTTTTGCCTTGAAATAAAGAAAAAAGATTATTTTTGTATTTCATTTCCCGTTTTAATAGAGAAAATGAGTCTTCCCAAAACTCATACTTGTTAAATACCAAAAAATAATCCTTTTTCTTTGTTTCAAGGCAAAAATTAGAAAGGCAAATTAGATGGAAGGAGGGAAAAAGTCTGACCATTTTGTAAAAATATAGGGGGAAAAATAGGGAGGAAAAAATGGGGCCCATACTCTTCAATATTACCGAAAAGATTAATTTAAGAGAGAAATTTAAAAGATTTGAGCACGAATAAATATTTTCTAATTTAATTTTGAGTGTACTTTAAATGTGGAAATTTTGCCCCTATGTACTTTAAAATCAAGATTTTTGTACTTTTTATTGGCATTTTGTCGATGAGAGCCCTGGTTTAATTATATTTTGTTGGGGTTTTGTGGAATTTTCATTGTTATTGATGCCGTTATTACTTTAAAAATTAAAATTTTAACTTTTTAAAAAATATTATTAAAAATCCCATGTCTTGAGTTTATTTGTTTGGTAATTAATAGATACCTTTCATCATTTTTTGAGCTGTTAGTTTTAACAAATTCTTTTAATGGCGAATCCCTATTCTTTCGTCGTGAGCAGCAAAATTTTTTAGAACAAGGCACATAACCTGGAGGGCAAATACAGCCTTAATGTTGTTTTTATTAAAAATTGATTTTAATTAAAATTAAAAATAATATTTGAATAAAAAAATATTTTTGGTACCTATCGGCGGTGGAGGTGGCATGTCAAATAATCGTGGAGGTATAGGTGTACGTGAGGCTTAATTTATGTTAATTATTTTTTATTGTGGGCTAGTAATAAAGCATATTTATTTTTAATAAAAATTAATTCTGAATTTATCTAATACAAAATATGTACCTGGTGGTACATTAAGGCAAAACATCATCGGAGGAGGCTAAATTAAATTAATTAAATTTCCACAATAAATCTTCAATTCAAATAAAATATTTACAGGACATGGAGGTCCACAAAAAGTGTTAGGAGGTGGTTGAGCTAAAATAACTGATGGAGGTGCTGATGGAGGAAGTGGAAATGAGGGAGGTATTGGGACCTTTAAATTAAAAGAAATGAACAAAATATATTAAATTATAACCATATTTTGCATCATTGGAGTGCATGCCTGAAAATCGTGATTTGGTAAAAATTTACTGTCAATTATTAAAAAAATCATAAATTAATAATTTATGTATATTTAAAATGCTCCTAGTATGTACCAGAGATGTTTCGAAATTTCGATTTTCGATTTTCGTTTTTCGATTTTCGAGGTTTTTTTCCTTTCGATTTTCGATTTCCGATTTTCGAAATTTTGTGATATTTTCGATTTTCGATTTCCGAATTTTTGAAAAATTTGAATTTTTGGCGCCAAAGTGGAGGATTTTTGGCTTATTGGCCATCATAAACTTAAAAAAATTTTCGCCTGCGGCGCAGAAAAAGGAAGATTTTTGGCTTCTTGGCCTTCCAAAATTCTCAAAATTTTTGCCTGCGGCGCTGAAAAATAAAGATTTTTGCCTTAAGGATCATCAAAATTTTCGCCTCCGGCGCAAAAAAGAAAGATTTTTGGTTCTTAGCCTTTCAAAATTCTCAAAATTTTCGCCTGCGGCGCTAATTGGAGGAAACCCTGATCTATTAACAATATTATGCTTCGGCTCCGGTATATTGGAGTATTTGCTTGAATTAAGGTGGGATTGGAGGGAGCAGGCCATTTGGAGGGATCAGGCCAGATGGATGGAGCAGGCAAGTTGGAGAGAGCAGGCCCCTTGCCGGAACCCTATGCCAGGTACCACCTTATGAGTTTACTCAAATCCTCCGTTATCCCTCTTAACCCACACAGATCTCAGGATTAAATATTAATCTTTACACTCGGAGTCTGGAGATAACAAGAAGCCGCTAGAAAATCACCGGCTCTGGAGCCAGGATCTCAATCTGATATGCAAAATTTTGGGTTTGGATATCCGTGATTTCCTTGGAATCCCAAATTCCTTAGAGTTCAAGCAAAAGTTCCAACTTGTAACATAAAAATTTATTTTTTTATTTTTTTTATTAAAAAATTTTTTTTCGATTTTCGTTTTTCGATTTTCGATTTTCGAGGTTATTTTTCTTTCGATTTTCGATTTTCGATTTCGAAGATTTTGAAAAATATTTTCGATTTTCGATTTCGATGTTTTTGGATTTTTTTCGATTTTCGATTTCCGATTTTCGAAGATTTTTTTGTTTCGAAACATCTCTGGTATGTACCTGCATGCAAAATGCATTTAATGGAATTCCAGGTGGAGGCGATGGAGGTGCAAATATTGGAGGTGGCGGAGGAGGAACTGGAGGTGATGACATAATTAACTAAATTATGTATATAAAAAATAAAGCTAAATATAAGTTAGAATAGACTAACCGGCTGACATATTGGAGGGCATATAGGTGCAATTGGTGGCTGTAAAACAACAGGTGAGATTGCTGGAGGAGGAGGTAAGAAAGGCTTAATTTTTATCTTATTAAACATTTAAATTGCTGAGAAAAGCAAAACTTTAATTAATAAATTTAAATGGATAATTCTGAATTTTAAATTGTTTATCTGGGCAACCACAACCTGTGGGCATGGTTCGCAAATTGCTTGTGGTGGGGCAGCAAAAATAGGAGGTGGAGGTGGGGGAAGGATAGGTTGGGAAGCTATTGCAAATTGTTGTAGTATACATGAGGGTTGACATGTTGGCTAAAAGTTTGAATTTATTGTTAGGAAAATATTTTGTGAAATTAGAATAATTTAAAACTATTTATAATTGAAAATATGTAGAGGAAATGGAAGGAGGTGGTTTTAACAAACAAAAACAAACAAGACAAGGCGGTTGGCATTCCAACATAAATGGAACTGGAGGTGGAGGAGGAGGAGGAAGAGCTGGTGGTGGAGGCGGCTGCATGAATACCTAAATTTAATTTGACGAATAGAGAGGCTGATAAATTGTTCCACAAGTTTATTGTGGATTAATTAAAATCTCAATATCACAATAAAAATAATATCCCTTGAAATCTCTCACCATTGGTGGCGGAGGAGGTGCTGGAGGCACAACAAACATTGGAGGAGTGAACACTGGTGGAGGTGGTGGTGGTGGCGGTAGAGGAGGCGGGGGTGGTGGTGGTGGCAAATGTTGAGGCATCATAATCATGCAACTTGGAAGACACTAAAGCGATTTTTCAAAAATTACTTAGGTTTAATTATGAGGAAATTAAAAATTATGAAATTTACTTGAGGCATACACATCGGTGGGCAAGGTGGCGGTGTTAGCAAAGGAGGAGTTGGCTATTAAAATTTTATTTTTAATTATTTATTTAAAAACACCACAAAAGCTGGAGGCGGTGGTGGAGGTAGAGGAGGCGGAGGAGGAGGTGGTGGCAAATGCTGAGGCATCATAATCATGCAACTTGGAAAACACTAAAAAGATTTTTAAAAATTAAGCTTAATCTCGAAAAAATTAAATAGTCTATGAAATTTACTTGAGGCATACACGCTGTTGGACAAGGTGGCGGTGTTAGCAAAGGAGGAGTTGGCTATTAGAATTTATGTTTAATTATTTAGAACAACATAAAAACTAGTGGCGGTGGTGGAGGTAGAGGAGGCGGAGGAGGTGGTGGGACTGGTGGTGGTGGAGGCGGAAATACAATCGGTGGAATTTCCTAAAATAAAACATATTTGTATAAAATTATGTAAAAGTTGTATGCGAAAATTTTATGGAATGTTTAATTTTAAAATTTAAAATACTTGTAAACAAAGTGATCCACAAATTGGTGCGCACGGCGGAACACAAGGCGGAGGAGGAGGCGGTGGCAAAGGTGGTGGTGGCGGAGGCATTGGGGGAGCAAGTGGTGGTGGAGGTGGCATCAACGGTGGAACCGAAGGTGGAAATATGCAATGGATTGTGCATGCTGGATGACAGACCTTTTAATGTCGGAAAATAGTTTTAAAGTGTCGCTAATAATAAATTTACCGGAATGCAAGGGCCAATAGGTGGTGGCATAGGTGCTGGATACGGTCCTGGCGGAGGTGGTGGCAGAGGCGCAACTGGTGGCGGTGGTGGTGGTGGGGGAAGTGGCGGAGGTGGTGGAGGAAGTGGCGGAGGTGGCGGAGGAGGCATCTAAATAAAATTACAAGTTAAGCTAAAAATTATAAATAATACTGGAGGCGGTGGCAGCGGATGAGGAATTGGTGGTGGTGGTGGCGGCAGCGGTGGTGTAAGAGGTGGTGTCGGCATTAATGGTGGACATGGAGGAATACAATTGACCTGATTAGATCCATATTTTCCAATTAAATTTAAAAATTTTTACCTGATAATTTATTGGAGGGCAACCACAACTTACAAGCTGTTCTTGCCATAATGGGCATTGGCAAACAAGAGCATGAGGTGGGAATAATGGTGGCGGTGGTGGGTGAGCAAGCATGGGTGGTGGAGGCATAGGAATTGATGGTGGCATTAAACCGGCACAGTCACATTGATGGACCAAAAAATAAATTTTTTTATTAAAAATAATATAAAATCAATTTATTATCAAAAGAAATAAATCAAGTTTTAAAAAGCTTGTTACCAAAATATTAAGTGTAACACATTGGCAAGGAGCTAATTCCAATGGAATTGGTGGAGGAGCTGCCATAGGTAATGGAGGCGGAGGTGGTGGCAAAGGAGGAGGAGGAGGTGGTAGTAACTAAATTTTTATTAATTCTGATAAAAATAAAATTTTATATTTTAAAGTATTTTAACAAAAAGTTAAGTCAAACTAAACTAAATCTTTATTTAGGTAATTTCTTTAAAAATAATAATTCTATTTTTTTACCGGAACTTGACAACATGCTAATTGAGTTGGAAAGCAGCATTGTCTTTTTTCTCTTTCCATAAAAATATTTTGTATTTCATTTTGGCTTTTACCCTCAAATTTATTTTAATAAAAAAAATTTAATTCCAATTATTTACCCTCTTTTGTTCTTCATACCAATCAGAAAATAATCGCAATAAATTTGCTTGTTTATCTTTTGTGGTTAAACTTTTCTCTGATTTATTTAATATTGAAAAATCACTCAAAACAATTCCAAATAAAAATTGTAAAATTAAAAATATTAAAATTGGTGATGTTAAAACTGAAAAAAATAATTAATTATTTAATAACATATTAATTCTAAATTTATTTGAATTACCTTTAATTCTTCTAAAATTTCCATTTATTTTTAAAACTCTCATTTTTATTTTTGTTGGATGTCGTTTTAAATTAAAGTTTTTTTGATAAATATTTTTTAAATATACAATTTAGGGAAATTATAATAATTAATGGAAATTATGAGTATAACGAAATTTCTATAATTAAAAAAAAGGATTTTTAAATAATTAAAGTAAATGGAAAAATAAATTTAAATAAAGGAATTGAATATATTCAGAAGGTTATACTAATTTTAGTAGGTAAAAATGTGTATCATAACAGACTTGGTAATGGACATAGATTTTGGTATCCCTATACAGATATCTACAGCGGATACAGACTGATATCCGCAGGCATTTTAAACTTATCTGTATCCATATCCGTATCCATTACCAAGCCTGTCATAAACATTACTTAACTTCTAATTTAGGGATTAGATAAAGATAAATAATAAAATATTCTCTCATTTTTAATCAAAAAATAAAATTACCTATTGATTCATAAATTAATATTGGAAAAAATAAACTAAAGAAATATTTAAAATTAAAAATGATTGGAGAAGATGAAAAAAGAATTAAGAAAAAATGTAATTATTTTTAATTTTATTCACACCTAAATGTAAATAAAATGTGTTGCAATGCTTTGTTCACACCGACTATTTTACATATTTTTTAAAGAAAACTACATATTTTAAGCTTACACCTGGACATTTCTTAAATAAATTCAAACTTTATTTTTTATTTTTGATTCTTTGTTTGAAAAATGGTTACAGACAATGACTGTCTGCAGATTTACTCTGTCAGGATAATTTTCAATAATTAGCATATAAAATTATAAAAATTAATTTAATTTCACTATAATATCAAATTTTTCTCCACGAAAGGTTTTATCCAAATGAGATTTAACTGACTTATTATAATATTTAAATATATTTTTTATATAAAATTAAAATTAAAAAAAGTTAAAACAAAATATTCTTCCAAAAACATTATAAATTCCGATGAGATATCTATTTCCTTTCAATATTTAAGATATATAAAGATGCTACTAAAGGTTCTTTGGGCCAAATGTTAAAGATGTGAATTAAAGATAAAAATGTAAAAGACTGTGAAATATAAATAGAAATATTTTTTTTAAATTTACACCCTAATTTCTAAGAAGTCAAAAATAGGGTAAAATATTTTAGTTAATATTTATGTAAAATAAAAAATTAAGACAGAATTGTCTTAATTTAGTAAGACAATTCTAAACGCGAAAAAATCAGCAAAATAATTTTTTATAACAGATTTAGTATATAAATTGGACGATTAAATAAATCGGCTTACAAAAAGATTAATTAATTCTCCAAATTATTCTTCATAAATAATCAAGAAATTAAAATAAATAGAGGAAATTCTGGAAAATGTCTACTAGACAACTAAATACTTCTTTGTTTAAATATTAAAAATAAAAATAAAGTTCCGGTTCCGTTTATTATTTTTTCAATCAAAAGAATTTAATGTTTTAATGACCGCTTCACAGGCCACAAAATAACAAAACAAAAAATTCCTTGCGCATAAACTGACCATTGAATGATGAGGCGCAAAAATTATATAAAGACAAGGAAGTCAAAGTCAAGTGGAAGAATAAAAGCAAATATAAATTTTATATTAAGTAAATATTTGATGGGCACAATATTCTAAGTGTGTGGTGGAAGTTGGGCATGTTTTTTTGATGAGGATAAAGATTTCTAAAAATAAATTTCCCCGGAGATATTGACAAAAGAAAAATGAAAGGGAAAGTTAAACAATTGAAAAAAAATATTAAGAAAATTATGAGGAACTAAAAAAATTCAGCAAGGGCTCCTTCCTATTTATTTACAACACAAAAACATATTTATGATTATATAAAATGAATCATATTTATGTAGGTTTATTCATAAAAATAAAAGAATTTACAAAAAAATAACCTTTACCTTGGCCATAAAATTAATCGCCTCAAAATTTACCGATGAAACAAAAAAAGAAAAATGGAAAGCTAATGCGATGAATTTATGGACCTTTTGAGGCCAAAAAATGAAAGAGAATGTGAATTGGAGAATAATAAAGGATTTAATTAACTAATAAATAATCGTCGAAAAGATAATTCTTTTTAAAAATAATTTTTGTTTGTTTAAAAAAATTTGGAATGGAAAAGTTAAATATTTTGAAATAAGAAGGAATCTGAATTGTGAAAATAGTGACTGGAATCAAAATAAAATGTCTCGTTTCATCATATTTTGGCTGTTTCACTTTGGTAATGTAGAAGTGATGTACTGAATAGAGTGTCCGAGGACCTAAAAAGGTAAAAATAATCATAGTTCAAATATTAAAATTTCCTGAGGCCTCAATAATTGTTAACTCTATTAGGCTCACAGTTTCGCTTAAATCAGACTAAATTTAGTAAGAAAATAATTCAATGTTCTTCATTATTCCTCAAAAAAACATTATTAATTTTTTAAATTCAATTTATTGGCATCTCTTCGGGCTGTGAATTGACCATGTAACGACATTTAATTTTTTCATATGAATAACCTTCATTGTCCACATATATTTTTGTTTGTTAATTCCAACAATAAGAAATTGCCGCGATATTAAAATTATTTTTATTCGATAGTATTGAAACAAACAATTGAAAATAAATATTTAATTGTTTGTATTGAATTTCTACAAAATTTTAAATTTTTAGTTATTTAATTTTATTGGTAAAAATAAGAAAAAAGGAGAAAGAATTGGTTAAAAATAAATATTTAATTTGAATTTTTATTATAAAAATTGTTTAGTCTATAATAAATTTTAGTGCCTTCAGACGAAAATTTTGAAGTCCTAAAATGCTAACGTCATTAAAAATTTATTATTTTTAGAATTACAACAAAAATTTTTCAATTTTGAGAAGCAAAAGAGGCCATATTTTCCTTTTTTGGAGTATTATAGAAATTTTAAACTTGGAATTTTGTAAAAAATTTGAAAGAAGGCTTATACAGTCACTCCATTTTATAATATTGAATAAAATATCTGACAATTAATTAAAGAAGTTTCCCCAAATAAAAATTTTTTATTTTAAAATCAAATTATTATTTGTAAAAATTTATTTTACACGTGCAACTATTTTAATTCGATAGAAAATTCTTCTTTTTCTCTATTGCAGGAATAACAAAAATAAATTTTTATTTATTCTTATTAAATTTTGAGGATTTCCCTAAAAGTCACATTTTCGATAAAATAATATTAACATATTAATACTACTATATGTCCACTAATAAATTATTGATTGATGATAGACTACACGATTATAGGAGAGACAAATATCGGGCGAGGGGTGTTAGAGGAATTTTTCCCTGGCCGGCCGGAGGAGAGGGCTGGCCAGCTATTGCCATTTTGTCCCGCGACAAAATGCCACATGACAAAATGTCAAGGCATAAAATGTCACAAGCCAAAATGCCAGGCGACGAAATGCCACATGACAAAATGTCCATGGACAAAATGTCACCGGCCAAGTTGCCAATTTTTAAAAATACTTTTAAAATAAAAGCCGCTGAGCTGTAATCGAACTGGCGACCTTCCCTTCAAAGGCGGATGCTCTACCAACTAAGCTACCAAGAAGCTAAATTACTTTTACTATTAATGTATCTTAAACCTAATCATTCATCTAATGGGAGGTTTCTTAGAGTATCTATCATATTGTCTGCTTGAGTCTGAGTAATATATCCATGGGTTCTTAAAAACCTAAGCATAAAAATCCAACAGAGGAAAATAATAGGTAATAATAAGGTGTATTGTATTACTAAAATCAATAATCCATAAGGCATCGGGGCATTTATATAATCCTTTTCTATAGTCAAAAAATCAAATGATTGATTGGAGAAATTACCAAAGTCAGAAATATTCTGCATTTTTGTTACTAAAAATAGAAAAGGCTTCTTATGTATTAACCCAAATTTGAGTCAGATACAATATGGCGATTATAATCAATCATGAGCATCTGATCAAATTCCCCTAGAACAATCATTTCAACACCTCCCGTGGGAATTGGAGTATTGAATTCTAAACGAATACTAGTAGTACCACTCCTCAAAAGCTCGAAACCGCATGAATCATCTAATGTGGAAGTTAAGGGGATTACAAAGAAGGTCCAGCCGCTTTTAAATTTTTCCATTGAAATATCGAAGGAGCGATCCGA